ACGCCCTCGCGTATTCAATTCTAATTTCTTTTCGCGCGCTTGTTCTTATGCTTCTTTTAAATCTTATGTAATTGCCCCAAAGCCTTGTAATAGTAATTAGGACATTTACTTTCCGCACTTTTATTCAAAATCGGGTCTTTGTTAATTTTGCGATGTATAGACCCGCGCCTTGTAATAGCGTAGGACTTTTATTTTCCGCATTTTAATTTCCGCACCTTTTAACTGCTAATCACATGAAAGAATGAATGGCCCAAATAAAATCAAAGCGTAGCTCACCCAATGCATGACAAGATAAAACATAATTGAAAATGACACACAATTCACACACCACTCTTAGGGTACGCCTCACTGTTGCCTTGCCCCTCGAAACGTGGGTCGTCGAGTATAGGACGTCTTAGTGAGTCCTTATGTCCATTGATCTAGTTGCCTCGAAACAAGTTGCCTCGAAACGGTTGCCTCGGAATAGTTGCCTCGGAATAAAAAGATCAATGGCATAAGGGTAGCTTATAAGGTGTCCTATTGTTGCTCTGGTGACCACACTGTCCCTACAAACGAATTGACCCGAACACCTCCAACGGTGGTGCTACCTACCTCTCAATGGTGGGATGGCACTACTTTAAGGACATTTACACAGCCTAATTCCTTAGGGTAGGTAGATAACTCGTAGATACTTGCTCTAGTTCAAAACAAATCAAAAACTTCTTTTCACACCGACACTTTTCAAAAAGCTTTCAAAACAACTTTTCAAATACTCTTGAGGACTGATACAAGAGTCGATCTGAAATTTTCAAAGAAACTTTTTCAAACCCACTCACTTTGAAAAGCAAACAAACATTTTGAAAACACAAATGAGCAAGTATCTAAGAGCCCATGGATAACCATGGATAGAAAGGGTGCTAACACCTTCCATTTCTATAAATCTACCTCCCGAACCGAGAGCAATCTCATAAGGAATTTTTCTGTGCTTTTGTCCTTTCCTTGTTGGAGAAAATAAAAGACGGTGGCGACTCTTGCTTCCGCGACATTTCGCGAACCAGCATTAAACAGTCAGTTCCAGATCCACCGATCACACACACCTCTAGGGTAACCTCTCTTTGTTGCCTTACGAATAATGTTCATGTCCCTCGAAAGTAGGGATACTTTAGCAAAAGACCCTCGAATAAAGATCATAGTCCCTCGATGACCCTTCGATGTTGCCTATGAAAAATGATCTAGTCCCTCCGATACAATTGCTAAAGTATCTTTACTTGTTGCCTTCAATGACCATACAAAGACCCTACACATGTCCCTTCACATCCAATAGATAGGGCTACCTACCAACTAATGGTATAGATAGCACTATCTCTAAAGGAAAAGGAAAGGAATAAGAACGACCTTGAACGAGTAAGGAACTTTTAATTGCTTGCTCACAACTCTTTTTTAAAAAATAAACATTTTTCACATCACACTTTCAATAAATATTTTCAAAAACACTTTGTATACATTCTTGAGGACTGATACAAGAATTATTACAAAGTCATCCTTACTTGGCAATTCCAAAATATTTTCAAACAAATCACATACACAAAGCAAGTTTTCAAAAGTGAGCTAAGTAATTAAGAGTCTGTAGATAACTACGGATGAAAAGGGTGCTAACACCTTCCCTTTTCATATCTTACCCCCCCGAACTCAAAATCTATTAAAGGTCTTTCCTGTTCTTTTCACATTTCCTAAATATTGGATAAAAGAAAAGTCGGTGGCGACTCTAGCTATTCGCATATTTGGGTAAAACCAAAAAGTCAGTTCTCCCACCGTATTACACTTAAGAAAGTGGTTGAGCTATTTAGAATGACATATGCTAAAATCATTAACACTTATTTAGGTCACCACACTAAGATTTCAGTTAAGCGATGTCCTCAAATAAAAAAGGAGAAGAAGATGATGCAAAGTACTCCTTATGGAAATGGGAAAGGAAGTATCATGTATGGTATGATTTGTGGTAAAATGGACTTAACATATGCAATTAACAAAGTGCGTTAGATTGTGGAAAATATGGGTTGGGTGCACTGGAAGGTCTTGAAGTGTTTATTGAGTTATTTGAATGGTTCATTGAATGGTAGTTTGAAATACACAAAGCAAACCCAAGGAAATGACACTTTAGAGGGTTTTGTAAATGCAGATTGTGCGGGTAGTGTGAACATTAGAAAATCCTTGTAAGTTTTTGTGTTTTTTTTGTTTGGAATGACTAAGTTAGAAAGCATATAAACCATCAATAGTCTCTTTATCTACTACTCAAACATAATATATTTCCTTAGTTAAAAGGGTAAAGGAAGTCATATAGTTAAGAGGCGTGATTGGGGAGTTAGGGGATCACTTATGCATGTGTGAAGATACATTGTGATAGTCAAAGTGTCATTTACTTAGCTAATAATGAAGTGTATCATGAGAGAAAAAAGCACATCAATATCCATGTTCTCTTTAAAGTGATATGATCGAGTAAAAGGAGAATGTGGTTGATTATATAACTTCGAAATATAATAAGGTTTATGTGTTCACATAGTCATTTCATAGATCAAGGTTCAGGAATTGTTTGGACTTTTCCAATTTGTTGATGAATAATTCAAGTTTAGAGAGAGCAACCAGGTGGATGGTGGATAGATTGGCATTGTTGGAACAAATTTTGATTCTACAACTATCTTTGAGTTTTGATGATAACATAGTATAAAATATATAGAGAATAATATTATACTCTAATAGTTTTGTTAAGTGCGCAGATTCTGATAAGTAGACTTTGGACTCTAGACTAACAAGTTTTGGACTCTGGACTAGTGAAGTTCTGAACTCTGAACAAGCAAACTCTAAACTCTGGACCTCAAATGCACTCTGGTCCACTATAGCATTCATAGATGTGTTTATCAAAAAATGCATTTGAATTATCAAGTCAACTCTCATGGAAGAATCTTATCTATAATGACTCTGATAATTCAAGTGTGAGATGTCTCAGGACTCTGAACTCTAAAGACTCAAAAGTCTCATTCTCATCAATTTTTGAAGATAGAATCTGATAGACTCTAAACTCTACTCAAGCTTCATAAACTTATATTAGAAGCCTCTGACTAGAAGTTAAAGAATGAAGGAAAAGATTGAGGAAATAATACAATATCAAATATCCTCTCCAATACCCTACAAATCAGAATAAAGGGTTGTATGTTGTTACCAACTTTGTTTCCACACGTCCCACCCTCTCTCCCACTATGCTGCAAGCGTCACTCTACTATTGTACAATCAAGTAACTTCATGCAAATTGTACTATTAAGGATATTCTAACTTCACTCTCCAACAGATCTATTCTCCATCTATATAAAGAAGTCTTTAAAGCATGAAAAGATAACGATAAAAGAGTAAAAATAGCGTGAAGTGAGAAAATACTAAGAAAGAAAAACTGAGAAACTACACAAAGAAGAAAACCATTGTTATTTTCAGAAACTTTATATCTTTCTTTCTTTTTTAGAAAATCTTGTTTGTTATAAATTGTGTGTATTCTTTTTTAGAAGCATATTGTAATCACAATCTTGTTTTCTTAATCTTTGGTTAGTTTTCTTGAGGGACTAGGGTATAGTCAGAATCTTTGAGAAGTATTTGGTTGCGTGTCATTGAGTTTGTAATCGAAGTATTAATTAATGGATTAAATCCTTATTGAGAAGGTGATATCATCTTGACGGGTGGACTGGACTAACCTAGTTAAAGGGGAACTAGGATAAAAATAGTTGTGTTCTTTTATCATTATTGTTTTTGTGTTGTTTGTGTTTGGGTGAACGCAAAGTTTTAATCTTGAAAAACGCAATTTAAACCCTCATTTCTTGTGTTTCGTTGTACCTTCAGACATCACCATTGTTTTTGGTTTAACACAAAAATTTGTGGAAGTATGTCTCATAAATTATTTTTGGAAAAATTACACCAGGGGTCCCTTATGTTATTTTCTTGTAACAGGTTGGTCCTTTAGTTTTTTTAATAACTTGGTCCTTAGGGTGATTTATATCTCCTTTTTCTTACATTTTGAATATTTAGAAATGTTGATTGTTGTATTTCTAGTTATACTTCATCATTTTTATACCACTCAAAATAATTGCATCCACAATTAGCATATTTTCTCCATTAAAAAAGGATAACGGTCCACATATTTGATAACTTAAAGGACCAAATTGTTGCAAAAAAAAATTAAAAGGACGAATATGTTACAAACAAATAACTTAAAAGACCTCTGATATATTTTACCATTATTTTTTCAACAAAATTCTAGATTTCAGAAGTCTCTCACTTATGAGGCCAGTGAGGCATATTTTATGGGTTTTGATACCACTATAAATGTGTTTTATGTCATTTTTCTAGGAAGTAGAGTATTCTACATCGAGAACCTTAAAGAGAAAAAAGAATATTCATGGATTCAAAATTCTATGGGTTGAGTTCATCTTTGATTGTAATTTAAGTTTTGAAAAACAATTTTAAATACATTGAGATAGTGTATAATTCATGTATTGAGAACATGAGAAAAGCGAAAAATGTGAGATGTTCTTATGAACATCGATATCTATTTCTTTGCAACTAATTGATTAAAAACTTTTGATTGATAGTGAATAAGTAAGTTTCTATCTCAGTTAAAATAGATTCATTTAATCAAATTTAGTGTGTTTGATTTTCACCTCTTTCACAATAATCTCTTGTTTCACTTCATTTATTTATTTACCATAGATAATTAAAAATATAAAAAAATTATAAATAATATTATATTAAACTTTAAAAAAAAAAGTAAATAGAAGTAAAAAACTCTATAAATAAGACAAATAATAAGAAAGGGATAGAATAATATATTAGAATGATTTTGGAGAAACTATCAATACACAAAGATAAAGGTAGTGGACAAATATACAACTCTTTTTTTAACCCTAGTAATTCGGAGTTCTCTGATTCAACTCTCTGAATTGTTACTGGAATTTGTAAATAGGACCTAGAAATTCCTATTGTTATTGTCTTATTTTGTCTTGATTAATTTCATCAAGAATCAAAATCACTGCCACAATGAAAGCATAATCAACATTAGGATACACTCTAACCATGAGATTATCTTTCCCATACTCAACTCCTTGAACAGTGTCCTTCTTATGCATCTACATTCAAACAAAATATCATTTACAAGATTAGAATCAAAATTATCAAATAATAAAAAATAAAAATAAAAGACATGAATTTTATAACAAAACCAAAATTCATTGATAAGGCTTACTTGTGCAACAATGTTATGAGAATCACCAGCATAAACAACACAAGATCGTTCAAACCAACTTCCTTTGACCTTAAAATCACTTATCTCTTCTTTGATGTTATTAGCTAAGAACACATCTAATTTGATCTTTGTTTGAAACATGAGTGATCTCTTTACACTAAATATTAAATCTTTATGCTCCGTGCTTTCCCTTCGAAAAGCTTCCCATCGATCGTGTCCTTTCACTACCTATAGTAAATCAGATTCATTTAATTATTAGAATTAATTTAATTAATAATTTTTAACCTAACAATGCTACGTAGAAGACATTTCACATCGGTTAAAATAGGTTTTTTTGTATAAGGTAGCTTGAGGTAACATATGGTATATAGTAAAAAAATTTACTTTACACGTAGATTTAACGTGATCGAGGTGAAAAATAATTGATCACCTCAATCATCAGATGTAACAAATAGATAATCTTTTTATCTATTGCTTTTCACATCAGTTATGAAATATAACCAATGTGAAATCTCTTATTTTTTCTACTTCGTCCAATCTGTAACCGAACTGATAGCCCTTGTATCCTACTTCGGTCAAATATTCCATACATTGACCAATGTGAAATCTCTTTAGGTAAATAAACAAAAATCAAAATAACAGTGTATTTTATTCTCCGTTTTCCTTCTATTCCTGTATTGATCTAATTTTTTCTCTATAAACAATAGAGGAGATTATTTAAAAAAAATATTGTCTAACCTTTCGTCGAAGAGTCATGACGACGGATTTTCCGGTGGCATCAAGTAAGAGACGATGATCATAAAGAGAGATGAGAGAAGCATCAAGGTTGAAAAAGATTTTGCCATTAATATCTGTGACCGTGAAGTTATCAGTTAATGTTGTAACCTTTCTTATAATTGATAGGTCAAGATAATGAGGAACACGATACTGAGGACCAATGATACTGTTGTGGTGATTGGGTGCAGAGGATTGTACTCTCTTTTGCATGTTTCTTTGTTTGAAGTTGTACTTAGAATTGCTGGGAATGGTTTGAACTTTGAACTTTGAACTTTGAATTTGGAAGTTAGCGTTATGACTTATGCATATGTATGTTTTCTTTTATGGTCATTTATATATAAAATAAAGTAACATTTGTATATTTTTGTGGTTGCATCCGTGTTTGACTTGTATATATGAAATGGTCAATGACGAAATTTGAAGGGGGCTATGAAGTGAACAAGACTAATAATTGTTGAACGTTGAAGATACGTTAATATATTTTTTCTTGAGGAAGTTTTCAAAGATGTACGTGATGGTGATTAATTTTTGTGTTTAATTATTCTAGATGTTATAGGCCTAGATGTAGCCAATGAGGACAATTTTGAAGATTAAAGTTGAAGGAGAAACAAGTTCAGGTCATATCAGTCCATAAAATTTTAGAGAATTTCTTTTTATAATTAATATTTTTTTTAGTAGGTTTCCGGTGAAAAATTTAAAATACTCTCAAAATTTAGATATGTATATCCAAACGTATCACAAATTATGTTTTATTAAATTGATTTCGCATATGTATATCTGAAGTCATTTGATGGTCTATTTCAGATATGCATATCCGAATTTATCTTTGAGACAGACGAATCAACATAATTCAACATAATTCATAACATAGATTCAACATGATTCATCGAAATTACATAAATAGTTCTACAGAAATTTAAAATCACATATTGTTATAAACGGATAGTTAAGAACGTTGAAACATCTTGATAATATTTTCTTCCGATCTTTGAAGCTTCACATCCATCTCAATCGGACCCTTAGAAGAGTATTGTTGAAAAGTATCCCACATAACCTCTAAATCGTCGTCGTTCTTGAGCTCAAATCGGGCGAACTTTACGTTTCCTTCAGTGTCAAGTGAAGATTAAGGATATTCAAGCTTGACCACATTTCGATTCTTTGAATATTGCAAGAGAGAATTTAATATGGTAATGAGCTCGGCGAACTACGTGTCCTGCGAGAACCTGAATTGAAGTGGAAAATTCGCATCACTGAAGTAGACAAAAGTAAGTTGTGGATATGTTTGTGTCATTTCTTTTCGTGGTTTGTGATGGAGAATGAAATGGTTTGGAGACCCTATTTATAGTCTTTTTGAAGCAATTTGGATCCAAGAAATCTTATCCTACTATCAGGATATAATTCGGATATGAACATCCAAAAACACCATGTTTTTATAAAAATAAGAGGTTAATTCAGAAGTGCATATCTGAAATAAGTACTGTATTGTTTTTTTTAATTGAAGGTTAATTCGGAAGTGCATATATGAATTATGCAAAACCAAAATCAACATCATTATTTGTACCAAAGATACATGGAAAAAATAAACAGTTGTAAAACTAAATATAGATAATATGTTATATATGTATGAATCATATAAATTTTACAATGTGTACGACAATACATTCAAAAAATGGTTCGATTATATTCTAAAATGCACCGAACGAATTGTCACCGCTTAAATCTAAGACTGGTTCTTTCTTCGACTTCTCACTATTTGATTCTCTCTCAAGCTCCATAAAATTGGTAAACTCTACCATCCTTTTCAAAAAATGATTCGATCAAGATTTCACCTCTTTTGCAGAATGTGTCTTCCACTTCACTGATGTAGCCGAAATAGGACACCCCAGTTTCAAATAAACCTGAACAAAATGGCGTGATCTAAGGTACCTAATACACATGATGCAACCAGATAAATCTTTAGGCGGGAGAGTCCGAAGAAGAAAAAAATGTTTGTGAAAAACTATATCTCGTCAAGTCGATACACACCCTCTCAGATGCACTTGTTATAAGATGACCCATTTCAGGGAAATTTATCCACTTTTCAACTGGTGTGTGAATGTTAATACTTGGAACAAGATCATTATGAATTTTATTAAATGCTTTCGTTGTGACATATAATTGGGTGTAAAGTGAAGGTGTGAAGAAAATGCAAGAAAGGTGGGGTTTGAATTGGGTTTTTCTTTCTTGAATAAATTTTTGCTTCTAAGCATTATTTCTTTGAACGATGATTCTGAGTATTACTTCTAAGTAATGCTTCTAATTAAGTTAAGAAAACACAAACTTTAAAGCATAAGCAAAAGTAAAGAACACGTGATATATCCTGGTTCACTTGAGAAACCTCCAAGCTATTCCAGTCCACCCTACCAAGGTGATTTTGCTTTGAAATCAAGGACTTAATCTACTATAACCAATCTGATTACAATTGCATGGGCAACCGCCGGTGACTAATATCCAATGACACGTTCAATGATCCAAATTGGATATAACGTTTATTGATCCAATAGAATTTGATCCCTCATAATCTCCTACCCGGATTTCCTTCCAATGATATCCATCAGTGATCTCACAAGGTTGACCTTCACACAGTCTCCTTCGAAATATGACTATCATTGACTCAATAGAAACCACTACAAGGATTTCATAATAATCTTCAGTCACTATCTTCTTAAGCATAGACCTTCACTCAGCCTCTCAAGGCATCATCAAACAAACTATTTGATTTATAATTTATAATAAAATGCTTCTACACAAGCTGGATGTAAACAGAATTTGAGCATACATCAGAAGATCCTAATACACACTAAAAATATTACATTCTATTGTAGCATCAATGTGTGGTCTTCTTTTCTTCAAGTAGCTTCTTTATGGACAACAGCCTAAAACACTTGAATCGCTGAAGTCTTCTTCTTCATAAGATTCTGGAAGCATTATTTATGATACGGTGGGAGAACTGACTCGGTTGTTTTGCGTTTGTATTCGCAAATTTTGCGGTTATCAAGAGTCGCCACCTACTTTTCTTTTATCCAATAAGGAAAGACTGAAAAGAACAAGAAAGACATTTAGATATATTTTCTTGAGTTCGGGGGGTAGATTATGAAAAGGGAAGGTGTTAGCACCCTTTTAATCCATGGTTTTCCATGGGCTCTTAGTTGCTTGCTAGATCACTTGCTTTTGTTTGAAAATGTGCTTTGTGTTGTGGATTTGAAAATATTTTAAAAATGTCTTTGTAACGATTCTCGTTTCTATAAGAACGCGTACAAAGTGTTTTTTCGAAAATAGTTAGAAGAGGTGTTTGTGGAATGTGCTTTTTAAAAGTGTTTTTGAAGAGATGTTTTTGTAATGGTTCTCGTCTCTATAAGAACGTATGCAAAAAGATTTTTTCTTTTGAGAAAAAGGTTTTAATGTGAAAGTGTTAATGTAAAATGTTTGGTTGTGAGCAAGCGAGCAACTAGGAGTGAATCTACCTGCTCAAAAGGTCTTAAATGTTCTTTTCCTCCTCCTTTAGATGTTGTTATCTTACCATTGATTTGGTAAGAAGCCCTATCGTTGGATGTGAAGGGACAGGTCGGGTTAATTGTACAGTCATAGAAGGCAACTTATGAGACGCTTTAGCAGTTTTTTGTAAGGGATTAGATCATTTTATCGAAGGCAACATCGAGGGTCATCGAGGGACTACGATCTTTTTATCAAAGGGTCTTTGCTAAAGCGTCCCATATTCGAGGGACATGACTATTTTCTAAAAGGTAAACAAAGTGAGATTACCCTAGAGGTGCTAGTGTGTAAGTGTGTTTGTTTGCATGCATTTTGTCTTGCATTTAAAAGTTATCTATTTGTTGATTTTATCTTGCCATACATCCTAATTACTAGCAATATATGAAAGTAAATTAAAATACGAAAAATAAAATCCTAAGCTATTACATCATTAGGGGGATGGGGGTACAATTTGAAAATTGGGATGAAGTAAGTGTCTAATTATTACAATCATATCTAACAACTGGGCAACAATGGAAATATATGCATAAATAGTGTAAAAAATGGGAGAAACTGCCTTTTGAACCATTATGTGTTGAAACATGTTGTTATGCATCGACACATAACGTTTCCTTGCTCCTGTAAAGAAAAATCAACTCAGTATGAGTAGACACATAATAGAATGTGTCGACTCATACACCTTCTTTGTGTCGACACATACGTATTTTGTATCGACTCATGGACTTTTCAACCTTCTATTTTGGGAACTGGAATCAGTATGAGTCGATGCATGGGGTTTATGTGTCGATTCATACCCTGGTTTTTTACTAGGATGAGTCGACACATGTATATATGTGTCGATCCATACTGCATTTTTCTGCCTTAAACATTGTTTTATTATCCATGCATGTCAGTTTATAACATATGATTGATAAACATAAACAACAAGCAAACGATTAGCTAAAGGGGCAATGGTTACTACATCTTATATTCAAAACTAAATCATTAATGATGTATGAAAAAATAACATGTCAAGAAGACTTACCTCGAAACTACACTTGGTGTTTAAAATCTGAATACTTTTCAAGATGATGTAAAGGCTCCAATGAATCTCCAGGCAGCTTGTTCCAAACTGTTGAAACTCAGTCAAGTTGTACAGTATTGTTTTTATGTTTGGATGGTGAGGACAATGGCACTAACATAAACTGTTTTAGTGTTTTTACAATCTCTATGTGCTAAGGTGTTTTGTTTATGGTAGAGTTTGTAAGATGGAATAATGGATGGAAGTTCTGTTTTGAATGAGATTAAAGCTGGTTTTTTCTTGAATGAGCCAAAGTTATAAAGAATACTATTTTTCTGTTCAAAGACTCTATATTCTCTCCAAAAATTCCAACCCTTATGTCTTATGAAACAGTTCCTTTTATAGACCCTTGACTGAGGTTTAGGGGGGAAACAAAATAAGTCATTTTGAACTATTTTTGCCTACTGCTTTGATACTTTATTCACATAATTTTCTTTTACCATTTTGGTGTAATTTTGGGGCTGTTGTGATGCAGGTTGGAGCAGACTGCATAGAGCAGTTTTGGACTGTATAGGACAGCATATGCAGATTTGTGGTGCAGCATAGCACAAGGTATTTTGTAGGACAACAATGGAGCAGGTTTTTGGGGTGTTAGGGCAATGCAACATGTCATGCTTTT